TATACTGCAATACCTATACACACCAATTGAAATTCTTCTCAACACACATCCTGAATATAATAGCTTCAAAAAACAATTACAAATTAAACATATTCTATACTTAAAGCAACTTACATCATTCAACAACTCTACACTTTTAGACTGGATACACATTTCACCCAGACTTAATCAAATTCCTACTAAACACAAACCCAAATGGTTTACCACTTTAGAAAACAAAATTATAACAAACAATCTTACAAAAACAATCAACCTAAATCTAAATCTCTTCACCTCCAACTCTCTATCATTTACAACAGGCTATTACAACTCAAAATCTAAACCATAGCTAATTACCTTTAATCATTACCATGAAGAAATAATTATAAAAAAGGCACAGTGATACAATACTAACGAAAACACTATTTCAATTACACATTGGTCAGTAGAATATGACTCCTCTCACACAAGTTTATATCTAACTCCAACTATTAACTGTGCTCTATGTACAGGATGTATACATAATACTAACAGGATTCAAAATCACTGTACATTTGATATTCCAGCTAATTCTGCAACAAAATTCCTTGGCTAAAAAGAATACAACAATACAATAAAACTAAACTTACATGCAAACTACTTAGATCTGATTTATGCTATTGCACTATGTAACCCTCTAACAATTCCTCCACTCTCTACTATTAAACTTACTAGTACCCCTATATTTAACTTATTTCAAATCAACTCATCCTCTATTAAACTTCAAGATATTGCAGATTCTAACAAAAGATTTATCAACTTTATATTCTATATAGATGGATCAGTCACAAACCTTACTACAGACAAATGTTCTATAAATATTGGCTGGATACAAATTCATGGCAATACAATACTTCACTTATATTCTTCTCGCATTAAGCTCTGGCCATCATCTTATAAAGCAGAGCTTATAGCAATACTATCTTCATCAGTACATGTCCACATAACAGCAATATACAGATATACACAGACTCTCAATCAATAATTACAAAATATAGCAAAATCAGTAATAATATAATTCTACTATATAAATAATACTCCTATTCAGATTGGCCAATTTGGCACTCATTACTCAAATTAAGTCAAGCCTACCAATACATTATTACTTTTTACAAAGTCCTTGCACATAACAATAATATATTCAATGGTGAAGCTAACAAACTAGCAACTAACCACAACTTACTGCATATCTTGAATTTATTCACAACAATTTATACAATACAACATATACTCTACAATATGAAAAATATACAATTGAACAACCCACAAGCTAAGCTATCAAAAACATCTGCAATATACATATTATTGCTATGTGGTCATCACAAAATCGAATGAACAATATTATTCCATTATCAACAAAGAATAACTGGAACTCAACATGGCTCTACCTTAAAAACAATATAAAAAGATCAAACAATTATACTAACTTTCAACTTAACCAAAGTAAATCCTTTAAAATCAAAATACTGCTTCATATCTTACCTATATTATATCATCTTCACGACCTGTATTCAGACAAATTTCAAAATAACAACTGCATTACTTGTCAAACCCCAGAGCATCAATGGCACTGGTTACTTTGTCCCAACCCTACAAATCTTACTAAGAAAATTAGAGACACAGTTACAGAAACTATTAACTGTGCAATATTAGATATTACACAATTACAGTTATAACAACTACACAACCTACTAATTCAACATAGCAGCTTATTACTAAACAACATTTAATGAAGACAAACCAATATATATATAACCATACAAGAATTTATACTAACAGACCTTATTGCTACAATTAGACTTTATATCTTATCTCAAAAAGAAGAAACTACTATAGCAATCAAACTCCTAATTAAAATATTATACAATATCTACAAACTTATATAGAAACCATACTCTGCTAAATTAGCATAATAGAAAAAAGACAATAATATCCTACCCAATCTCAACAGACTAACAACTTGTATCAGACTATATAACTACTCACATCAACATCTGAACTTACACTATACAACTTGCCAACTATGCAGCTTATCCAATCAATTCTACACAGAAGATAACACCTGTTTACCACATAGACTCACACTTCATAAAATTGAATCCTGGTTTATACACTGAATATTACATAGCTACCCTACTAACAATATTCTGCACTATCAAATCTAGGTGAGTTTTAACTACTCTAGTAGGTTTAGATTGCAGATAAATTAGATAGATATCTGTCTATAGTCTAATAGTCTAAGCTTTATTCTTGTAACATATTTGTAATTAGAATAAATATTGTAATTTATATCCAGAAAAGCCCCAAGAGGCTTTTTCAAAAAATTAATAAAGATATAAGCAAAACCTCACCTTAACTTCAAAAAAAAAATTTTAGATATTGTTTTATATAATAAAACTTTAATAGACAAATCACAAATCACCTAAACAAATATATTTTTTTTTATATATAAATTTTACAATAAGCCCAAATGTGCAGCGCTTCTATCTAAAACTTTTTTTACTAAGTAAATTACTCTTGGACTTGTAACAAAAGTTGTAAAGCTCATCAAGATGCATCTAATAGTGAAAGAACACTAAAATCGGTCTGGTGGTTCTTGAAAAATCTTTAAAAAACTTCTTTTTCACATATAAAACTTCTTTAAAAAAAATCAAATTTTTTTAAAAAAGTTTTATATGTGAGAAAAAAGTTTTTTAAAGATTTCTCAAGAACTACCAGATCAATTTTAATATTCTTTTATTATTAAATGCATCTTGATGAGCTCTACAACTTTTGTTACAAGCCCAAGAGTGATTTACTTAGTAAAAAAAAAGTTTTAGATAGAAGCGCTGCACATTTGGGCTTATAGTAAAATTTACATATAAAAAAAATATATTTGTTTAGGTGACTCACGATTTGTCTATTAAATTATAAATTTTATTAATAGTTTATAATATATGTGATTTTAAAAAGTGTACTATAAGTAATACATTAAAAATTTAAAAAATAGATTAAATTAAAAGAATTATTTTTTAAAAAATTAATTATTAATTTTAAAATAAATTAAATAAAAATAAGCTAGAATATAAAATAGATTTGTTTATTAAAAATTATTTAGATTTATAATTTTTTGGATTTTTTATGAGTTTTTAAAATTGTACTACTGGTAGTACAAAGAGCGTGCTGCTATCCATTAATATTAACGTTAATACTAATATTAATATTAACATACAAAAGTAGCTTAGTACGTACGTGCTGGAAAAATTTTTGTGGGTGATCTACAGGTGTTTGGTTAGTTTGATCCATCACGTGGAAATTGATATCCAGATGTCACGCAGATAGTAGATCAAATGATAAATTTTATAAGTAAAATTCAAGCAAAATTTGTTTTCTAGGTTTATTTAGCAATAAAGAAGTAGTCAGTTTAATTTCTGTATCATTTCACCAATTCTCTACATTTGAAGGTTCTTCCCATGAAATTTCAAGAGTGGTTAAAAATAAAATCCAAAAGAAACTTGACCGCGAAGTTAGCCAGTAATAATTTTGTCACATTATAATTCTCCGTACTGAGTAATCTCGTTATATCGGTGGTCCTTTATATCTTAAGTCACTGAGTGCTTCATATTATACTTTACTTGACGTTGGGGGTACGTTCAACTATGTAAATCAAAACTATACATAGATGTATATCAAATTTTATGAGAATTTTTTTTTTAAAAAAATTAGTGATCAGAATAGTGATTGGATTTATTTATCACTTTATATATATATTTTTAATAGTAAAATATGTTTTTAGACGTCTAGAGTGAATCGCTTTACTTTTTTTAATTATTTTAACATAAATCTATTCTAAACATGTTTATAACAAAGTTACGTTGAAAAATTTTTTAACATTAATATTAAATTTCAAGTTGACTCTTTACAAAAACTCTGCTTTATATTATGAATTATTCAAAGAGAGATATTTTCGTTATAAGTAAAATATACATCTATACATAGTTTTGATTTACATAGTTGAACGTACCCCCCAACTTGACGTGGTTCCCTTAAATAACATGATTTCATTGAGACAAGCCGGGTTTAAACAAAGGTTATCTCAATCTTCAAAAGAACTTAATGCCGAAAGGTAAAAAAACATTATAAATTTGTATATTAATATAAGCGAATTTTCAAGTAATAATTAATTATATACTTTTACATAACAATACCAACTATTCGAAGTATCCTGGATGACACAAATGAAACGGACAGAACATTTTTTTCTGACCGAAAAAAAACCATTCAAACAAAAATAACTCAAAAAAGTTAACCTAATTGTTGTTGTCAAAGACAAAATTGCAGCATTGAAGTGTGTTCTTGTCGAAGGAATAATTTACTGTGTATAAGACGATATGGTTGCATTTTAGTGATGAATGTAAAATAATTTTTTCTATTTTTCTTTGCTTAAAATTATGTAATAAAACATTTATGCATAAGACTATAACAATAATATGCGTATATAAATTTATTTGTTTAATAAAAAAAATTTTTTTTTACCATTTAATAAATTTTCATCGATTTCAAAGTAACATACGGCATTTTAAATTTTCGAAGCGACAAAAATTGAAAATGACTAAGAACACATATGTACATTATTTCACAATTTTGAAGCCAAGCCGCACATCAATTTTTAATAGATTGAAATTTGATTTTGTGACATGGCGTATACAGTATTAGCATTTTTTAAATAACAAATAAATAAATAAATAAATAAATTATAAATAAATACAGAAAAATAAATAAATATAAATAAATAAATAAATAAATAAATAAATAAATAAATAAATAAATAAATAAATAAATAAAAATAAATAATATAAATAAATAAATAGACAAAAGGAGAGCATGAAATGAGAAGGCCAAATTTAGAGAAAAATAATTGACGAGATCAACAGGCACCAGAAACTTATCAATCTTTGTAAAGAATCGTAGAGCAAAACGAGGCCGAAAGAAAAAACAAACTTTCATTGACAATCGTACAATGTACTACAGTTCCAATTTCCAAATTTAAAAGTATCAACAGTACCACCTATGCAAAAACAGTCATTGCCATTGTAAGGACCTCGCACTTTCTCTTTCTGAAAACTGCTTTGAACTTTTGCAACTACATAGTACTCTTGATCTGGAAAATAAAACTCATTTTCTCGATCTGTACAATCACCGTATTGTCCTTTTTCGTCACCAGCTATGCGGTTATGATTAATATCTTCTATCCAAATTCTACAATTACAAGCAGCACACCCCATCCCTACAGATATATTATATGCTATATATCGTATTAAACAAAAATGTCAGATTATTAGAAAAGAGAATGGAGAAAATACGCAATATGAAATAAGAACTTTACCTTTAACGACTGAAACAAATGTCATGAAAAAACAAATGAAAATGGCGGTAAAAAATGTAAAAGCTTTAAGTTTCATATTGCAGTATTGGTGTTAATTTATGATATTGTGTTTTATTATCTTGCAATAACAATTTTTGGCACTATGACAAGGCTATATATAATAATTTAGTTTCAAACTTTCCCGCTAAAATTTTATCCATTAATTCTATATAAACTATATAGGCTAGATGCTGAAAAAAAGGGTCAAAATTGGCAATTTTTTCAAAAATCTTTTCTTTTTAACTTAACACTAATCCAAAATTAGCCCAGAAATTGTTTTTTTATTTAAGGAACAAATATTAGTTATTATGACAAAATTTTACAATATAGTATAACTCTTTAAAGTTTGTACTTATAATTTACTATAGAATTTATAATATAAAAAATCAAAATTTCGTAAAACTTTATTTTGTTACCAATCCCATATAATCGGTTTTCATATTCCAGTCGGGGAATCTAAATTTTTTATTTTTTTTAATATGTCAACAAATAAAAATCCTCTATGCATATTATGTGACCAAAATAAAATTGAATCGTTGCTATTCACTGATATATTGTAATATACATAAGTACCACCTAAATTCTAATCAACGACATACTGCATAATGAGCAATTAAAAACATATACACTCGATTCTAATAAGGCAGCTTGCAGTTGAATTTTCGGTTAACATCACTTTTAGAACTCTTGGGGGGGATAAAATGAAACGAACATATAAAATGAACAAATATGGGCCAATTTGTTTGGTCGATGTAAGTCAAATGATTGGTGAGAGTTATCCAGCGTTTTGATTGGTTACTCATTCTTCGGGGAGACTTCAGCTGGGGTGATGTTTACCGAATAATTAACTCCGAATAGCTTAAATGCTAATAAAACAAAAAGAACACATTTTTATATAATTGTTACACTTAATTCGCATAGCATAATCACAAAAATCATCAATGAAACACTGACTAAGATCAAGTTCGTTAGAATTATTATACGAAAATACGGCATTTGAAAGAGTCGAAAAAATATGATTTTACGATAATCAAGCTTATATTGTGTAATGAATATAGTACGAAGTACGGAGTGTACCAGGAACGTAGTACGAAGTACGAAGTGTATGGTTTACAGGCAACTATCTGTGTACAAAATCTTGGATCTTATTGGACAGCATGATCTTGTCATGTGAAATTATTTTGTAAAGAT